AATGTGGTTTCTCACATTTCATAGATGCAAATTTAAACCTGGTATGTCAATCTAGTAAATGCACTACCATTTCAATAAGAACGAATTGTCCTCCACAGTAGAATGAGTGTATAGGAAAGGTTACAGAGGTCTGGTTAATGTGTGCCTTAACCTTATTTACAAATGTTAGAGTGACTTGTAAAAATAATAGTAATAATAATAATGCTACTGTCTTTTATGTTTGTTTGTTTCTACTCTCGTAAAGAAAAACTCACTTCTATACCTTTAGGGAAACTTCTTATCCATTTATTCCAACAGGCAAAAGCTTCATCATGGACAAATAATATTTATAACTGATCCATTGTATAATATATATATTATATATATATATATATATCCATTATATAATATATATATATAGTGTTACATACTAAATTTATTCCTATTTTCAAACAAAGGAACATTCATTTTAATCATTTATACAAATAAAACACAAATCAAAAGAATATGTTAATGTCTAGCACAAAAATTTAGTTGTTTAAAAAATACGGTAGTTACAATAATTTAAATAGCTTACTAGTAACAGACACATTTTAAAGGTGCAGGAAATCTGTTTTTAATGTGTTTTCTTTCTCATGCTATTGTGTGTTCCATCTAAATGAGGGGCTACCTGGATTAATTTCAAATATTCTTATGTTACATATCACTCTAAGGAAATATTTTTCCAGATAAGTTATAAAGAACATGTATTTCTTAATGGCAGGCATTTTATCATCTGTGATCATTTAAAATATAGGTGTAGGATCCTGTTTTATATGGCACCATGCTACCGTGGAACTTTTCTTTAAGCTATTTGAGTTAGACAGCCGCTGCCAAACAAAACAGTAGGAGGGAAACTGTAAAAAAGCTTTAAAATGCTAAAAAAAGAAGTAAGTGAACAAGCAGCAATCTAAACATAAACTTGAGGACTATTCCCATGACCTACATCTGATACGGAATCCACTCCAGGGAAACGCAGAACCCACAGAGTACCAAGAGAGCACCAAGAGGACCTCAGGCATTGTCTTTAGAAGCAGAGATCGCTTCAGGCAACCTGGGAGCAGCTGCTACCCCAGAATTACCGTGTGCAAATCTCAGACAGTACTTTAAAGGACTCTGCGACACGGTGTTCTTCTAGGATGAGAAGGAAAAGCTTTAGAAGAGAAAGCTTTTCAAATGTATGGTCAGCAGAATCTGAAGCAGACACATGTGAAGAAGACACTACAAAAACACCTTGTTCCGAAGGCTGCCTGTAGAGAAACGCTCGATGGGCTCGAAAGCACGGCGAGTGACTTTGAAAGATGAAGTCTGTAGCATTTGTCTTTGATTCAGGCGCACTGCTCTTTTGTAGCTATATGATTTATTTAAATCCCTTTTTTTGCTTTAGTACGTGTAACCGGATGAGGCTTCAAATGAACACATCTTAATAGAGTCATGGTGGAAATGACTGGACACTCGTCAGGAGGTAGGCCCCGTGATCACGCACACACAGGGACCATTGACGCGACTGCCCCTTGGTGGCTACCCACAGCCATGCTGTACTGCAGGCTAAGTCTGTGCTACAGTTTCTAAGGTTCGGAGAGGTTAAGTCACATACTCAGCTGCATGGTACGCTGGGGAGAAGGGCACAGGTCTAGAACCCTCTCTTCTCAGCACAGATGTTCTCAGGAGCTGTGTGGCGCCGGCAGTCCAGTCACTTGCTTAATGTTACTTTGAGCTTAAAAATGGGCTCATAAATTTTCAGTAGGCTAATCCCGAATTCAGCTTGGGACCCAACTCAGAATGAATTCTGTCATTTTATATTCCCATCATGGATATGTCCAGGAGGCCCGCTCCAGCTCCTACTTATACACAGGCTTCATTTCTTTTTCTTTCATAATATTTTCTTGTGATTAGCTACAAGAGAGTGAGTATGGCCCTTTAGAAATTGTTCTAGCCTCATTCTTTCAGGTGTCTCTGTGAGCATCATAGGTGGGTCTGAAGGAAAGCCTATCAATCAATTTCTATTACCATATAATAATAGTAGCAGGAAGGCATGGATATCTTCATATTAGAAGAAAAATATTTTATATGCAACTTTTTAAATCACCGGGGAATTATTAAATCTCGAAGATATCAAGACAGTATATGAAATGAAATTTTGGTTAGAATTTATTATTAACATTAACAAGACCTATTCACTCTAGACTAATTTTATAACTAGGCCAGTGTGTCCTATCCCTTCCTAGCCATAATCAAATATGTAAAAAGGGCAGAATGTGCCACAAACAGAGCAACTTCAGTTCTTAAAGATGATGAAAATTTCTTTAGTCGCTTAAAATCAATGACAGCTAGTGAAAATTGTTTCACAAAATAATCAAAAATGTATTCATATCAAATAATGTGTTTTCCTAAGGAAGATAGCTGTCTACTTAATTATATAATTACATAAGTGTTACAAATGTTTTATATATTGTAATATATTACATAAAAAATAAATAAAATAATATGTTATATAATTATATAATAACATAAAAAGCAGGGCTGCTTACCTATATAAGATAATTGGAGATAATATGTTATGGTTCTTTTAAGCTGATTGATTCATTATTCATTTCACAGTAATTTACTGTATACCTACGTACTATGGCCCAAGCACTGAGGATGATGAACAAAAGAGACGCAGACATTACCTTCATGACCCAGTGTGAATAGTAAATAATCAGAAGAGATTTAGAAGTGTGTAAAGTGTGTAATTGTGAGAAAAACCATTATCTGACAAGAAACGATAGTAACTCAGTAAAGAGTGAGTTATTACTGCGTGGTGTTCTCTGTTAACACCAAATTCATCGTAATTGAAAAAATTTTTCATCATCCTGTTTTAATTGCAGGAGGATACAGACACTGAGAGGTAACTAAGCAAATGTATGTACACGGTGCTTCGTATACTGCTGCCCATGTTCAAGAGCCAGGAAGATAGGAACAAGAATCAGTTCATGTTGGCAGGACTTTCAGCAAAGTGGATGGCATTGATGGAGCTCAGGGTGGAGAGGAAAACCGGGGTCACACATTCGAAGACTTGAATGTGAATTTTCCAGGCTTCTTCGGTGTTAAAATGTTAGAATGTGTTTGTTAGAGCTGATATTTCTGGGAGCTTATCTTAGTCCCTGTAAGTAGGACATATAGGGAAAGAAGAAACAATGCTTCTATATTCCGTGTAAGGGACTGTAATATCTTGTGGGTTGCTAATATATCTGTGGACTTGAAAAGGAAAAAAAAATAGTATAGAATACAGTCGAGACTAGTTTCTTGCACATTTAATCATGTGTGTGTTTGTTGTGGGGGGGAGTGGGTGTGTGGATGTGTTCGTGTGCATGCATGTACGTGTGTGTGTGTGTGTGTGTGTGTGTGTGTGTGTGTGTGTGTGTGTAGGTATCGGTACGCCTTAGTGTGGAGAAGTTAGTTCTCACCTTTCACTATGTGGGTTCTGGGGATTGAATTTAGGTTGTTGTGTTCCCTTATCTACCAGCCATCTTGCCAGCCCCAGAGACACTTCATGAGCTTTTTCTGTTGTTTTCACTACAGACTGAATGTTTAAGCCATCTCCCTCCAAATGTCCCTGTATTAGTACTATCGTGATAGTACTTGGAGGAAATTACTTTGAACAGTACCTGTGTTGTCATCACAGAGCCCCAGCAAAGGGGCCGTGTGTTTGTGAGAGGACACAGGAAGTAGTTTTCTCCCTTACCCTTTTGTCTGCCATATGAGGGTACACTGTAAAGATGGAGGTGTGAAATCTACAAGGCAAGACTTCACAGACCACAGGTCTGTCAGCCCCTCATCTCTAGCTTCCTAGACTCTAGAACTAGCAAACAAATCTCCTACATCTGAACAAGCTTGGCGTTCCATCACTGCAGCCGTTACTAACCAAGGCAGAAATTGACCAGGTGTAAAAAGCAGCCCTTTGGAGAATCAAGCATAAGATTCTATGGGGAACAGATGAGCTCTTGGTGTAAGGTGGTATGTGAGAGTAATGAGCGTGGGTTTCAATCTCATGAGACTGCGATGCCAGTTTCACATCCAGTTGAAGTATATCATAATCTAAGCCCTTTGTTCCTCAGCAAAGTGACCGTTGTTGTAAGAGGCAGTGAAGAGAAAGATCTTGGGCAGGCAAGAGCACTAAAAGCAGAATATCAAGAGAATCAAATTTTAGCAGGCACAAGACAGTCTCACAGATAAAAATTTAACATGAGAGCAGCTGAATTAAGAGAGCAGAGAATTATGGGAACTACAGGAATGGGATCAGAAGTAACCAATGAAATGAAGTACAGAGGAGAGAATCAGGGATTGGGTGTTATAATGGCACTGGGTTAGGAAGAATGAAGCTAACTAGTCACTATTTACTAATCATGCCTCAAACACTCTAATCAAGTCTCAGGATTGATGAGTTTTGTTAAATGTCTGAAATTCTGGATAAAGCTATAGTATCTTTATATTTTTAATGAGAAGACTGTAAATGACTTATTTCTTCTATTGTGTCTCACACATTACATGCCAGCAAATATGAGTGATAAAAGAAGCAAATGAAGAATTATCTCTGCTTCACTCATCTGTTAGTGTGAAATTCTATCACACTTGAAGATACTCAGGTTAGCCAAAATGACAGTCATAAATGGTAAATTCAAGGAAGGCCCCAAAGTTTCTATAGAGCTTTACCTACCTTTGAGTTTTTGGATCATTTGTTTATATAATATTAGCATATGGTTACAGGTTACTCTTTAAAAATAGCTTAATATTGTATTTATTCTTAGAGAGCATTAAGATTCAATTCATATATCAAATGTTTTCCAAGTACTATCAGAATACAAATTAATAGTTTGTAATATATGGAAATTATTATATCAATCATATCTGATTATGATATATATCTATACATCTGTGTGTGTATTATAGCAGTTACTAAATTTAAACATGTTAAACTATATAATGACAAATTTGAATACCTGTGGTACCCATTTGGAAGACACAAAGCTGGTTACTTCTATTACAGACAAGCCAGTTTGGGAAAGTTGATTGATGAATTCAACTTTTATATCTGTAGGAACTATAACCTAAAAAATTATAAAACATATTGCATAAATGAATTGTATAAAATCTACTGAAGCACAAAATATTACTCCTAATTAGAAGCAAAAACAATATGATTTAAAAATTCAAACAGTAATTACCACAATATTGTTTAAAATATAAAACTTATATACCTTCTCTTTGATCTGAGCTTGTCAGGTCTCATCAGGCTTATTTGTATTGTCTTCCTCAGTAGCTTGGCAAGGCTGCACCCCACTCCAGGAAAAGGTAATCAGAAAACCTGCCACTAAGTTCACAACAGAGAAAGTCCCTGTTCCTCTTACTAGGGACCTCACTTGGAGACTGAGTCTATGGGTTACATCTGAGCTGGGATTTTAAGTCTTCTCCATGCATTGTCCTTGGTTGGGGAGGAGGACCTCCTTTTCCAGTGGACTAGGGGAGAGGCATAGGGGGAGAAGAGGGAAGGAGAGTGGGTTTGGAATGATATGTAGGAGAGAGCTATAGCCAGGACAGAGATTGAATAAATTGTAATAAATGAGAATAATTAAAACATTTTTTAAATGAAAAAGTAAAAAAAAAAAAAAAAAAAAAAAAAAAAAAAAAAAAAAATAAAACTTATATACCATTAACATTTTAAGGAATTCACTATGTAAAGTTGATCTAAACCTACCTTTTCATTCTGTAATCCATCCCTAGGTCCAACTTCTACTATTTTCACATATTCAGGGAGTCCAGATAACTGAGATACTTCCTGAAATGCAAGAATGAGTACAAGAAAAAAGATATTACTTGGATTGCCAAACTATTTGTAGTGGTTTGAATGATAATGTCCCTCATAGGCTTGGATTTTGAAACACTCAGTCTCCACTTGGTGGTGATATTTTTGGAGGTTAATAGATGTTGCCTTGATGAAGGAAGCATCTTACTAAAGACTGAATTTGGAATTCATAGTCTTGCTTTAACATCCAGCTCACCCCTTTGACTCAGGACTTTCCCAATTCCTGTTCCTTGTTACTGTGCATCAGACAGACTATCACCCATCTAAAAACTTATAATATGCAGCAATAGTTAAGTATCTAATATTGTAGTTGGTTACAGAGAGTAAGCTGTTGCTATGAAGAATCTAACCATAGGTGTGTCTGTAGTTGTTTGAGGAACGTGGAAGAATGAGACTTAGGCCTAGAAAAGTGGTTACATGTTGAACATAGAAATTAAGCCACTATTCTAGCAGGAGCCTGAAAGACAGTGCTGAAGACAAAGCAAATAATAGAAGCCTGGCTCAGAAGGTTTCAGAGGGAAGCAAAGACTTTTAACAGCAACTGGGCAGGAGGCCATTTGTGTGATATTTTGGCCAAAAGTCTGGCTGCTTTTTGCCCATGGCCTAAGAATTTAACTGAGGCTAAATTAAAAAGAAATAGGCTAACCTTTTGTTAGAGGAAATTTCAAGGCAGTATAACAACGAATCTGTGCCATGACTGATACGGATAATATTTTGCAGGTCTGCAGTGAAACAAGAACAAGCAGAGCAGAAAGAAAGACGCTAAAGCTTAGCGATCCAGCCAAGGCTGGAAGAGTGGCTGTAATTGTGAAGGAGATGAGTACAGTTAAAAGGAGGTCTCCAGCTCTGCACTGGAATGAGAAGAAGGGTGCCTTCAGGAAAAGACCTCACTGAGCTAAACTTCCAACTGGTGTAAGAAAACCTGGGGCGTTTTCTGAAAGCAACTAAATGAAAATACTGCTGCTAATGTGATTCAGGTGGCCAGGGTCCATCCCGAACTGGCAGCCTAATGTGGCAGTGCTGTCCATGTGGGTTTGGCTCTAAAGACATAAAGCACAAAAGAGTGAAGAGGTCCTGGACTCTTCCTCTGTGGTTTCATAGAACCACTAAGGTCGAGCAGAAGAGTCCCTTCATGAAGGGTGTTAGAGAGCCATATGCTTTGAGAGGCTATTGAATGATGCTGTGAAAATAAATCCTGAGTTGTGGTGAAGACCCCAAAATGTTGGAGATTTCAGAGCCATGGCATATCTGTCAAGGATGACTGCAAACGGGAAGTGGACCGAGCCAGCCCAAAAGAGATGAATGTTGCAGGCAGCAGAGCTTGAGAGGCAGAGCCATTTAAAACGTTTGACACCAGACATAAAGCTACAAAATTTGCTAGGTTCTGGTCTTGATTTGATTCAGTATTTACTAACTATGTCCAAGTCTTCCATTCTGTATCATCATATGTTTGAAATATGTAATGTGCTTTGCAATTTAACAAATAATTATAATTAATACATTGCCATGAGTCTCCAAAGATACTTTGGACTTTTCAACAGTGTTGACACTAAAAATCAAAAACAAACAAACAAAGAAACAAACAAAAAACAACAACAGACTATATGGACTTTTGGAGTTGGACTAAATGCACTTGAGGTTAAGATATGGTCATGGTCAGGCATGGTGGTGCATGCCTGTAATCCTAGCACTCAGGGAGGCAGAGGCAGGTGGATCCCTGTGAGTTCCAGGCCAGCCTGCTCTACAAAGTGAGTCCAGGACAGCTAACGCTACACAGAGAAAGCCTGTCTCAAAACACAAACAAATAAACAAAAAATGGTGGTCAGGGAGTGGTTGAAATGAGAATGTTCCTTCCCATTGGCTTAGGTATTGGAACACTTGATCCTCAGTTGGTGGTGCTGTTTAAGAAAGTTTAGGAGGTGTGAACTTGCTGGAGGAAGGATGTCACTGATGAAAGGTTTTGTGTATTTATGTACAGTTTGCTCTCTCTGTTTCCTGCTTGTAGTTGAGGATGTGAGCTCTCAGCTTCCTGCTCCTGCCCCCATGCCTGCCTCTTGTTGCTAAATTTCCTGCCAAGATGGACTCTTCCTCCATTGGAACCGTAAGCCCAAAGAAACCCTTCCTTCTCTAAGTTTTCTTGACTATGGTGTTTTATCACAGCAACAGAAGAGAAAGCAATAGACTAGGTTCTTTTTTTAAGTTAAATAATTACTCTCTGTTAAAATCATTCTAACTCCACAAAATTAAAACAGTTAAAAAAAATCGATGGAATATAATCCTGATACATCACTTACACTATTTGTAACATTGAAATAATTCATTTATTATATCTTTGTGATAGGCATTTTGATTAGAATCCCAAGGGTCAATTTCTTTTGAATAATTCAATTTCACTGTTATAGATCATTAAAAAAAACATTACAGGCTATTCATCTTACAGACAGTAGTATCCACAATAAAGAATTCAAAGTGATCTAGAGTATCTGAAGAAAAACAAAAACAAAAACAAAAAGTTAAGCAACAAAAGAGCAAATAAATTAGTCAAAATGTGGGCAAAGGAACTTAACATTTTTCAAAGTAAGAAGTACAAATGTTCAATAAATATAAGAAAAAATTGTTCAACCATCTTAACCACAACCACAATGAGAATTCAGATTAACACTTAATCTGAACACAGATTAACATTCCATCTTACCCAAGTCAGAATGGCTGTCAAGAAAAAAAAAAAAAAAAAAAAAAAAAAACCAACAATAACAAAAAAAAAAGTCTGGGCATGAATACAGGAAAATAAAAAACATTTATGTACTATTTGGTGCAATGTAAGTTAGTCGAGAGGCTATGGAAACAGTACGGTGGTTTACTAAAAGGCTAAACATACAACCATCACGTGATCTGGCTAGGCAGTTCTTGGATACATACCAAAACGAATCAGTGCCAACTTACAATATAAATATCTACATATCCATGCATAATGTGGATAGCACTACTAGAAGGGCCAAGTCAGAAAATCATAGGTGCCTAGGTGCCTATGAAAATAGAAAATGTGCTCTGTGTATTTTATTTGTCCATAAAGAAAAATTATGCTATTTCCAGGAAAATAGATGAAAATGGTTATCATCATGCTTTGCCAAGTAAACCAACTTCACAAAGGTAAATATATTTTATTGAATATGTGAATTTACTGGAAAAGAGGCAAAGGCGATGATGCTATGAGAATGTGGAAGAGCAAGAGAAGAGGAGGATAAGAAAGAATAATGAAGATTTGAAGAGAATTTGATTCAGACACCTTATATACATACATAGAAATGTCATAACCAACCCGTTACTTTATACAGTTAATAGGTGTTACATTAAATATGGACTTTGCATTAATCACAAACAATCAAGCAAGAACCCACTATTGCTCCCTGAATTTGAATGCGGGTTTGGTATTTTGGCTTGTGCATAGACAGCTGAGCTAGAGACAAAGGAAAGAGTGCTGTTTATTTTTTCCCTCCTCACACATCATTTCTCCTAAAAAATGCTGCTTCCAGATTGACACTCTCCAAACAGGACCAAATCTCCTAACTGCCTAGCCTACCCTGCTTTTACTCCATAGCTGAGACAGCAAATGGTCTGGATTCTGGAATCTTCAGTCCTACAAATCCAGTTTAGAAGATACATTAGATGTATTAATAAAATATTAGATAATTAAATAGTAATTAATAAGAATATGTTAATAAGCATATTAGTAGACCAAAGTATGCTTAATTAAAAGGTTAAATTTTTTAAATTTTATTTATTATTTATTTTTTATTCACTTTGTGTCCCCACTGTAGCCTCCTCCCTCATCTCCTTCCAATCCCACCCTCCTTTTCTCCCCTTTTGCCCCTCCTTTAGTTCACTGATGTGAGAGGACCTCCTCCCTTTCTATCTGACCCTAGCCTATTATGTCTCATCAGGACTGGCTGCATTGTCTTCCTCTGTTAAATAGGAAAAATTAGGCTTATTCTAAATTTTATATAAAGTATAAATGAAATGTGAGTTATATCTTTCATACTATACAAGCATCATAACTTGCCATTTCTGAGCCAAGTGTAGAGAATTCATCATCGTGTCTTCAAGTAAGGAGATAAAATCAACTTAGACACTCAGGACCTGAGCTTCCAAGTATTTTGTTTCTTGAAAAATAAAGTACACCCAAGTTAACCAATTTATACAGCTGATTCTGTCCTTGGGCTAACACACGTTCAAGAAAGAGATGGCTGTTTCTGAGAACTTCATATATGCGTAGTTTGCAGTTAGATCTTTCCCCCTTCCTCCCCTGTCCAAATCTTTCTACCCTGCCCACTCCCTCTTGAATTCATGACCTCTTCTAATAAAATTATTGTTGCTATCCACACATAACTAGCATATGTGCATATTTGTATTGCCCACATGTACAAATGTCAAGAGCTGACCATGCAGAATTGGTGCCCACCTATGAAGAAAACTGATTTTCCCTTAGCATCCACTGATGACCTATGTAGGTCTTTATGTAGGCATGCAGCCTTGCGGAATTTTGTCCCATCCATGTTGGCATGTTGACTGTTGTAGTTATTGTAAATCTTGTGCATATAACCATATTGTTGAGATTTCATGTATGCAACATCCTTGTCATGTCCAGAACACAGTGTATCCTAGTAGTCATCTATTCTCAGCCTCTAACCATGCTTATGTTCCTCCTTCGATGTCATTGCACTTTAGGTGTAGGTATTGTGTTATGGGTACCCCATTTGGGGGCTGAGCACCACGGTAACTTATTCTCTGCATGTTGACTAGATGAGTACCTCTGTAACAGTCTCTGCATTCCGCAAAAGGGGCTGCACTTTTTGGATATGAGCCTAAGAATTAAAAATAAGGTTAGAAATCACAGTGGTTTGAGGAGTCGTGGGTTCTCTCGTCTAGGGTCGAAGGCTCTCCAGACAGTGGTTCTTGCCTAGGTTTATTGTATC